GAAGGCTGTGGAGAGCCAGTTGATTGCGGATTCGGAGACGCGGTAGTAGGTTGCTGCGTTGGAGGCTACGGGGGCGAAGGTGAGCCACTGTGGGTGGTTTGGTGTTAGTATCTTTGGTCTCACTGTGATATTGAGGCTTTGGAGTTTTGGTGGTTAATGCAGGAAAGGTAGCAGGAAGTGATTGGTCGTCAGCCTTGTTGACGATGTGCTGCACGATCGATGGTGGCTTGTCTGATGCAGGTACCCGTATACCCTTTTGCGATTCGTTTATAGTTGGCCCAGAAATTGACAAAAGGTTGGAAGAATATATTTCGACTTACATCCCACGAGACAATGATGTTAAGCAACGTCAACTGCGCGATACCGAACCAGCGGCGCTTATACGTGCGATACTCGACGGCCGTTCCCTCGAGGACGCTATTATTGTCGCCGTCGATAATACCACCACCAGCGACACCACCCGCCCCCGTGATGTCGTTGTCGCGAGACCGGGAGTCCACATCGCGGAGGTGATACTCCTCGTCGCCGAGCTTGCCAAAGCCGGAGCCGGGGTGGGCGTGGTTCGGCATTGCCGTCGGGGCGGCGGCGGTGTCGACGGGGGATTCGAGAGCGGCGTCGACGGTAGCGGGGTCAGGGTTCGCGGCCGTCTTTTCGTTCTCGTTTACGCCGGTGTGAGGTGAGGTTGTAGTGGTGGTGGTGGTAATGTTGTTCGTGGTGTCGTTGGTGGGAGGAGTGGAGTTGTCGACCGAGGGGTCGTTCTCCTTCTTCTGACGGCGGGAGAAGTGCATTTTGTGTGTATATGTGTACCGGGTCCCAGGTGTCTTTTAGTGGGCGCGAGCGCCAAACGGGCCAGAACTTTTGCGCGCTAGGGAGCCCGATCTTTGGTTGTAGGGGGGGCGTCGGGTGTCGCAAGTTTTCCTGAGACAGCGGGTGAGTGGGCGCAGCCACGGAGCGCTGGGTTCGCCCGGGGCAGGTTGTGGACGGTGGATTAGCGGGCAGGCGGGCGGGAGATTGGCCTAGGCGTGTCTTGGCAGGGAGTCCTTGACTTTCGAGTCGTTCCACCTTTTATCCTGCGGGATTGTGGACTTGTACGCAGTAAAGCCTGTGATTGTCGGTCGTCGTCTCGAGTTCCTCCTATTTCCTCCAAGGCTCTCCAGCACTGCGTGGAGATGGGACGGAGAACAGACGGAGAACAATGCGCTGGGTTGGGGAGCAGAGAAGAGGGTAACTGGATAAGCCCGCCCGTAAATCACAAAAAGTCGTGCCAAGAGCCCAAGAGGAGGGAAGGATGGGAGGGAATGAACAGGGCCGGGGAAAAGAAATAATAAGCTGAAGAAGAGAAAGCGGAAAGGTCGACTTAAGAAGTAAGAAGAAACCTGCCTGCCCCGAACGGAATATTGGCAGAATCGACAAGACGCGGGACGTGGGAACAGGAACAGGAACAGGGGGCCACAGATGCAGTGCAACTGATGCGGCCGATACCCAGAGAAGGTAAGGTAAGGCAAGGCATTCGATCAATCAATTCCCCCCAAAAAAAGTACAGAAGATCCCTCGAGTCCAACGGCCCAACTTCCCCGGTCTGGACTGGTGTGTACCCTGTGCTGTTTTGCTGGTGCCGTGGGCCGTGTATGTTGGTCCAGAACGATTCTTCACTTTCCTGATCCTCTCAAGTTTGCATTACACTGGGGGGTACATGGCGCTCAAACTCTCCACCTCGCGTGCTTTCCACGAAGCATTGGCGTACGACTATTCATTATCACACTTGACCAAGATTCCCGTATGGAATGGGGTAGGTACACCAAGCGTCGCGAACTGAATAAAAGACAGAAAGAAGCAGAAAGAGGGGAACGAAGCTACCTAAGCTAAGCTCAGATCCAAATGAACCACCGTACCCAGAAAGCTTGACTGCAGCATCGTAGCATTCGACAATGGGCTCACATGCCCACCCACCTAGCCGAGGACCAAGAGATATGCATGCAGTACCTAATGAACTTCGTACCTAACAACCCGTCATCTCACATATCTCAGAATGCAACCAACAGAATCGGGGTTGCTCTCAAAGTTCCTCGAATCCGTACTGGTACGGCGCAGCAACCGACGGGCGACCCTTCCCCGTCCCCCTCGGCCCTCCCCCATTGGCCCGCCTCCCCGGCCGAATGCCTCTCTTTGGGCCACCTCCTCCGGGTCCCATCCTCCGCTCCACAGGGTAACATGTACTCGGAAGGGGGGGCCTATCCCGAACCTACATGTCTGAGCAAAAAGTGTCTCTAGAGTCGAAAAAGGATGGCCATTGTCAATTGGAGATACATCCTACCTGAGCAATGCCAAAAACCCTCCTTCTCAAAGTAGACGAACAAGAGTCAGATAGACTTGAGAAAACATGGCTACGGTAGCATGTGTACACATCTCTCGACTACCCAATCGCCTCATCTACTTCGCCGCACACGAGCAGATTTACTGCGTTCCCAGTGTTCCCATGCCCGTCCTCCGTCGTCGCGCCATAAACTCGCCTCGCCTCGCCTGACCTCTCGCCTAGTAAGGTATGCTGCTCTATCCGAGATGAGCTGATCAACTTTACCTTCTTCCGTCAAGTTTTTCATAAACACGTAGCAAAAATCATTTAATATCCATCCCCGAAGCCCCTACTTCTTTCTCTCTCTCTACTAGATTTCTGAGCTGTAGTCCAAAACTTGTACACAAACAGAACTGTGCCATGGCTACTGCTTGACGGCTCCCGATTCGGTCTCGAGGATGGAGACCTCTCTTAGTTCAAGAGCCCCAACTATCGTTCGTCAAGATCAGAAATAGCGCCATTGACAACCAGCCGCGTTAGTTCAACACTCATCATAATTCCGATCCGCATGCAGGTAAAAGTCATGGTGAAATCTATTGCGCGATATGCCTATGGTACAAAAGACAAGATCTTTCGGCGCCGCAAGCCGGACAGCGCCCACTACTGAGCAACCCGGCTTGACGAGCACCACTGGGGTGAGGGGTGGAGGTACAAGGGGTAGGTGGGAGGTCCCAAAGGAAACTCTAGGGCCGGTTTGCTAGACAGTTTCGTTCTCGTCTTCATCTCGTCTCGGCAACGACATTTCTCTCTCTCTCTCTCGCGCGCGCGCGAAGCCCACTCTCGTAGAAATAGAACACCAGTCGTCCAATGCCGCTAATGCGAATAATGGGCTCGGTCTCGAAAAAAGAAGATGAACCGCCGATGCCGTTCCGTCGTTCGTCGTCTACGATGTCAAGACTGGGGAAATGTTGCATTTACTTGAGCTTAGCCCAGAGCTTGGGGGCAGCGCACTGGGTGGCGCAGTGAGCAAGGTGGAAGACTACACCAGAATGTCAGCTTTCGTCGGCCCTGTAGTGAGGCTCTTTGACCGTCTGCCATTTGCCCATCATATATATATATATATGACGGACAGATGTAGAACTTGGTGACAACTTACACTCCTCAACGCAGTCCTCCTTGGCACCCTCCTCGCTGTCGGCAGCCGCCGTGACGCGCTCAACGCACTCATCGTAGTGGTGCTTGGCCGGTGCGCAAGCCTTGGACTCCTCGCAGTCTGTCACCCAAAATCGTCAGCAACTCGTTCTGTAGAATTTCGAAATTTCGGACAATCGCGTTTAGCGGGTCGATAACGTTGGGAAGCAGGCGTTCGGGTGTCGATGGGGGAGCTCGCGAAATTGCTCATGTGCGTGTCATCGACTGTTTCCCGCCCAGCAAACCGAATGTCGCGTATCGCCATCGAATCTTGTGTCGGGGATTCCGGGAGTAGTAAAAAAACAAGAACGAACCTTTCTCGAGCTGCTCCTTGGGGTCGACGGTCTCCTCCTCATCCTCCTCTTCCTCTTCTTCCTCCTCCTCTTCCTCTGCCTCCTCCTCCTCGGCCTCGGGCTCCTCCTTGGACTCCTCCTCAGCGGTCTCCTCCTCCTGAAGAAAGAAACATTAGTCAACGGTTCTTGTTTGTCGAAAAAAACTGCAGAGCGAATGCGAAACGAGGACAGCGACGAAGGCGGGAACGTGATCATCGCCCAACCTCAGGCCATGCCCTGCAACAAATTGCGCGCAAAAAAAAAATAGCTTCGCTCACCTTCTCCTCGGCGGCAGGGGCCTCGGCCTCGACGGTGGCCCACGGCATGGCGGCCTCAGCGAGGTCCGTGATGGTATCCCAGAAACCCATTGTGGCGGAGGTGCGTGAATTGGCTTGACGTGATGTCGTGGATAGTGGTTGATTGGGGGTGGGAAGTCGGGAGCTTTCGGCAGAGACGTCGAAGGAACGAAAACTGGGTGTTCTGAATTCGGTCGTAAGTTATTCCCAATTGGCCCGTTTTGATTGGCTGCGGAGGAAAGGCTGGGTGACTAAGCGTCATCGACCGCGGGAAACCGCCAACGTGACCGTGGGCCGGAGTGCCAAGGATCTGCCGTTCCGGTGCTACTACCTCCAGCCCGGTTACCTCTATACCGGTACTTACCACTTATCTGAGTACCTCACCTTACCTAGGTACCTCGCCTCACTTCACACCTTTGAGACCGGCCGAAAGCTCCCAAGCCACCATCTCGTCACAATCACATGGAAAAGTGGAAAAGCAAAGGGAAAAAGATCAGGCAAGAGAAAGTTACGGGGGAAGAAAAGTTACTCGCATGGTTGCGTCAAGCTTCCCAGCGTTAAATTCAACCATCATGCTTACTGAGGTGGCTGCCACTCATCACACAAGGTCTTGTCCATCTATACCTTGCGAGATGGTTCGCGCACACTGTGATTACCCCCATCTCTTGTGCCTGGGGGCATGCATCCCAATCCTCGTGTTCTCGCCCTCGTTCTCCTCATCAAGACGTGCTCGTCATTTCTCTACACTTCAAGTTCGTTAAGAAACGCAGGATCCGCCAGCCGCTAGTGTAGATGCTATAAAAAGTTACAGGTGTAGGGAGTGAAATGCAGGGAGGTATCGATGCAAAAAAGCGTTAGTCATGAGCCCGTGATGAATCAAAACCCCCGCTATGCTCTGTCAGACTCTTCGCGAACATGGTCCTCGAGTCGCATGCTGAGCGTCTGTGCTTGCGCCTCATCATAATCCGGTGGGGGTTCGTCCGGACGCCGGTTCGCATTCTGACCCCCCGAACTCGCCGGCCGACCGGCTGCTTCTTCCTGCTGCTGCTGTTGCTGCTGTTGCGGCGCCAGGCTGCTCGGAGCTGCTCCGCCGCCCTCGGTTGCTTCGTAGGCCGGCAGCGGCTCGTCCGGAATGTTGACTGTCTGTCCCGTTTCCTGCTGCAGACGCCTCACATGCTCAAGTCGTTCCTTGAGCTCCTCGAACCTTTGCCGGAACTCGCTGTGACCGCCCTCCTTGAAGCTCATCTTCACCTCGACCCGTGGTATGTCGGCAGGCACGCCGCCTCCAGAGACGGGCACGACGGTGGCGGACCAGAACCAGGCGCCAAAGAACGGCGAGCCAACGTAGGAATCGGCGCAGTTCAAGATTGGCGCATGGAACGACTTGAACTCGGCGGTGGGTTTTGCAGGAATGTAAATGACCTGGAGCAGGGTGATCAGCTTCGCCCTCCGGCGCCATGTCTTGGGATAAGTCATGTAGTGCATACCCGTTGTGTTGTGATGTATGCCGTGCCATTGTCGCTCTTGCGCGCAAAGGGCGTCCTTCCTTGCTGTAAGGCCTTGGGTACCGACAGCTCGAGGCTTACTTTGGCATTGGATCTGTGTCTGATGTGTTCGTGAGGAAGAGGGTTGATGTCACCCGTCTGGGTGATCATGACCCAACTATCACCATGGTCAGAATCTAGGCGGGCCTGGGCAAGCTGTCGTTCTCTCTGGACGGTGCGGGCAATGGTAAGGGCATGCTGCTCTTGCAGATACTGATCCGTCATGGTGGACGGCAAGTGTGGGGGTGGTATATAACCGAGAGGAGTGTGAGAGAGAGGAGGTTGATTTGATGGTCGAGGTTGGCAGCGGGGTTACCACGGACGCTGGCCGGGATGACTCCGTGGTGCTGGGGCTCGGGGCGGCGTGGGATGACGGGAAGATGAAGGGGAAACAGAGGCAGAGCATAAGAGGGAAAGGGAACATGGAGGGACGTACTTTATTGACATTTTGAACGAAACGGCGAGCAGCTGCAGCGCAGAGCTTCCTAGTTCGTCTCAGCGAGTTGAGGGTTGCGTGGGAGTGGGCGTGGTCGGTAGCGGCAGGGCTTGCAGAGAAGCTTCGGAGATCTGGATTGTGGTGGGGTGGATCCTGGTACAGGCACAGGCACAGGGGAGGTACTTTGTGGGAAGGGGAAAAGGGCGTCGCGTTCTGGGCAGCGGCGAGGGCGGCGTCGGCATCGGCGTCGGCTGGTGTTGAGAAATGGTGAGGTGAGGTAGGTAAGGTGAGGAGGTGAGGTGCTGCTGTTGGGTTGCTGGTGCTGTTGCTGTTGCTGGCGGCTGCGGCTGCTGTTTGATACACCTCAGAGTCGAAGCGGCGGCCGGCAGAGAGGATGGCGAAGAGCGAGTGAGTAAGTGCCCAGTGGAAGAGGCGCACCGGAGGGGTGGGAAAGGAAGCAGAGAGGCTGATAGCGTTAGTTAGGTATTAGCTGGGCGGATAAGAAGGGTAAGGCAAGGCACAGGGCAAGGTCAGGTTTGGTAAGGTAGACGCAGTATGGGAGAGTGGACAGGGTATTCTCGGAAAGGGTGGAGGAAAATTAAGGTACCCTACCTTGTTGCTACTTGCTACCTTGGAGCCTAGAGCGAGGCAAGGCGCGGCAAGGCCAGGCAAAACAGATGTCGTAGTCGTAGTCTGTACTCTGTAGTAGAGGGCAAGGAGGGCAGACGGCTCAAGGGAAGGGAGCGGGCCAGACAAGATGACACAGCTCGACCAAATCAGAGAGAGAGGAGGAGGCAAGTTGCGGCAACTACTCTGGCTAGTCCGACGACGGTGGCTGGGGAAGTTCGGATGCGTAGGTAGTCGAGGTGGGGGAGGGGTTCTGTGACAAGACAAGCAATGGTGTGATGAGACGGTATGGGATGAGAATAGCTAAGGTATGAGAGGAGGAGGAAGAGGAGGAGGAGAAGGAGGAGGAGAAGGAGGATTCTCTCTCATCAACCTGAGGTGGGATGGGTGTGTAGTGAACGGAGTAAGGTAGGTAGTCAGTCACGTAGGTAGTGTAATGCGGATAAGGTGGTCGATGAGACAAGGTGAGGTGAAGAAAGCCCAAGTACTTCCGTACCTCTCCCGGCTCTCCGTACCCAAAAGGTACTTTAGCCACTAAGGTAGCCGTCGCTATTCGTACGTGCTTCTTCTTGTTCTTCTTCTTCGGCTTGGGGGGAGCGGGGGACCCAATGAGAGACATCGGCGCGCCGCGCAACTGGATGAATGTGTGTCCACATAGGTGAGAGTGCCAATAGGCCCAATACTCAAGTGTGTGTGTGTGTGTGAGTGTGTGAGTGAGAGTGTGCGAGTATCGATTGGATCCAGGCCCCCCCTCCAGGTGTCTCCAAAAAGTCTCCAACTGACCTTAGGCCGTTAAGTTGCGTCCTGCGTCTTTGCGGGTTCCCTGAACTCTTCTCTCTGTGTCCCCAACTCCCTTTCTCCCGCTAGTTCACGCAAGTCGTCCAACGTCTGTCGATTCGCCGTGTCTTGTTTGATCTGCTGCTCACTACTCGCTGCTGTTGGGTTCCATTTGTTTGCTTCTGACATCCACGCAGGAGAAAACTATGGCTACCTTGCCTTGGCGTGCCAGGTACACAGTGCACAGCTTGCTTCTTTCTTTCCTGCTTGCTTGCTTCCGCTCATCACTGCTCCTGCGTGAAGAACGATGGAGTCTCGACTGGAGTATCCGTACTCGTATGAATCGTTCTTCCTGCCCTTGATTCTCCTCCTTCTCCTCCTCTTCCTCCTTCGGTCTAGGTAAAGTACTCATCCACCAGTCGTCGGGAGGTTTGTACATACGCTGCAGGTGTGGATGAGATGCCAGCGACATGGGCCCTCTGGGTCAGAACTGCTGCAGCCCAGAACAAGACTCTGGACGAATGAGCTCAGCGCTTGGCCAGGGTTGGCTGGGTCGGTCCTTTACGACCACACTGCAGGCATGGATAATGGGGGGGGGAACTCTGTGCGCCGCGCAGTAGCAGGCGCATTGGATCACGCAGACTCGCAGTAGCAGCAGGCCTGGGACCCGTCTGCTCAATGCAAATTTGTGAGATTGCGGAGCTTGAAGCGACGTCGTCCTGCAGTTGGCCCAATCGACTGACCCTGGGGTCTGTACTTGATCTGATCCGTCCGAGGTTTACCTGCCAGCCGGCGCAAAAGTGGGAATGGTGTCCAAGTTGCCCCCTACCTCTGCCTAGGGAGCCATGTTGTGGTAAGTCTTGACTAAGGACCGACCGACGGGCGACACCCAAGGACAAGGTCGACGGTCGACCGAGATACCAAGCGGCTGCGGCTTCTGGCATCTGCTGCTGGCATTCCCGTCTGCCCTGCGTTGCGCCGCCGGGCTGCTACCGGTAGTACCTAGTGTAGGCGCGAATAGAGTAACAAGTAGCAGTCATTGACCTTGGAGATCTCTCTCCAAGAGGGACGGATGACCAGGTCGGGGACCAGATTGCTAGGAAGAGTGCAGGCCAGGGATCTCGGGATGGACGCGCCGATCCTTTTGCACCCAACTCGAGCCAGGAACCCTCGTCTTGAAACAAAGCCTCTATGAAGCTCTCCCGTCTAGATTGGCTCGGTGAGCGACTTTCACCTTGTGACAGCAACGACAATCCCTCGAGCCATGATGCCAAGGTCACCGTCTCCAGCTCGACTGCTCGGGTTTCCCAGAAAGGCAGTGAACCATGATTATGAATCCAAGCAGGGCACGCCCGTGTCTTGGTGCCTGAAGATGACTCCGACGAGTCCGAGAACGACCTCATTCGTACCTAATCGCCCTGTCTGCCTATACGACTTTGGTTGTGGTCGTGGTTGTGGCATGCCTAGCTCTAGACTGTCGGTATCAGTCATGAGGGACATTGTGAACCCTGAATTCTTCCACCGCGGGCACCCCAAGGCCCAAGCCGACGCAACGCGCGGCGCGGCATATGTCTCACGCAAAGACCAGACGAACAGATGTCAGTTGTTTTGCATGTTTTAGAAAAAGAAAAGAAGGTGTCTCCCCCCGAGTCAAGCGGAATGACTCGAAATGGCTGCTAGCTATCAGCTCGTGCCGCAGACATACGTAGTTGAAGCAGAGAAACGGGGATGGTTAGAATGGGGAGCTTGAATTGAGACCTTGGGACTCGGGAGGGAGACTTTGTGGAAACCATCCAGTGTTGTCCCGTTCCCGTTCCCCGTCAAGACCAGTACCATCCATGATCTTCAGCGGCCCGGGACTTGCCATGCCATCGGGGCCGTCGAGCATGCGGTCGTTGGGCTTTGTCCACCTACGTCCCACAGCGCAGCCAACCTAATGCCAGAGGGAGACCCAGCCAGGAACAACTTTGCAAAAGCAGCGCCAGTGGCGGGCTTACATTCATCGTCAAAGACGGAGTACTCTAGTAGCGAGTGCAGCGTGGTCGGCCACATGCCTGCGCGGTACCCAGAAGATACTCAGTACCCCTGATCATTGTCCTGCTTGGAACCCGGTAATAAACGGAGATCTCTGGCGGGGTTTCTGGAGGAGGAGGAGAAAAAGACCAGGGGTCAGGCGGCGTGGTGGCCGTGGAAAACTCATGTGCTTGACAAACAGAAGCCGGACGGATAGCGAGGTGGACAGACCCCAGGCGCGTTGGTGATAGATGGCCAGTGACGAGCGCTCCGTGTCATGTCGTTGGAGTCGTCGCCATCTCGGTATCTCCCTCTTGGGCCGGCGATTGGCCCCGGTGAGTGAGGGGTATAGCTACTATAGCCCAGATTTGGGGCCAATGTTGCATTGCCAATGATTCGAGAGGTTGTTGAAGGCGACGCAAAGTATACGGGGCATACGGACAGAGGCCAGCGTTGAGCACACAGGCATTGTTGTTTGGTGGAAAAGTAGACGGGTCGAACAGAGTCACGACCACTGCAGGATCGCATCACACTTTCTTGATGCTCGCCTGTTTGCCTCTGGATATCTTGAGAAACTATGATAGAGTAGGTAGGATTTCCGAGAGGTAAGGTGGATGGACGGGTGGTATGGTGATGTGTAGAAGACACGAATGACAAGAATGACAAGAATGCAATCGGAAGCACCCCCCCCCCCCCGGGCCCGTAATCTTCTCCTGCCAAACATACCACGTCAATACTTCAATACTTGATGCTCCTTCTCTTTATAAGGTACACTCCATGCTTTCCCTCGTTACCTAAGGTAAGGTACGATGCCTCGGAACCTTCCAGGTAACGTTTGTCGCCACGTGAAGTTGTGATAAGGTAGGTACAGGAAGCATCGTCGTTCTTGCTCTCTCGGTGTGAGATGAGATACCTAAGGTACTTAAAGAGCGACGTTGACCATTGGTCGGGAGTGCGAGGCGCTGCTTCCCAATTGGAGCTTGAGATTCCGTCGTCTTGTCGCACTCGCTGGCTCCTTCCGAGTCTAGATCCCTTCCTACCTTACCTTGTTACCATTGACTATTGCCCCGAATCTCACCTTGCTTACACCGGACTTACCTCAATTACTAACAAGATACTCGAATACTTCTCCGCACGCATAATCTTCCTACCTACCTGAGGTACCTGCTTGACCTTACTCGTGGCTGGGCAACACGGCGACATGGCGACACCAGACAGGCACCGTATTCCTCCCGACGCAACGAACATCCTTCTCTCCTTTCGGCCGCAGAGAAGCACGTCGCCCACGTCTGCATCCACCATAATTCAAAAGTCTGACCGCTTGTCCGCATCCTCTGCCCTCTTTCAGGAACATGCGAACTCCGAGGGGGCCAGGGCCGCATCTCGGACACTTGGAACCGACCCATCTCGAAGCCTACCTTAACAAACTTCCCTGTCCGCCAATGTCCCCAAGCTCCGGACGACAAAAGTCGCGCAGCACAGCCAAGGAGTTGCATGAGAAGCGAGCCCACGCCGCACACACAATCCCATTGTCAACAGCACTTTGACGAATAATCACGCTACGACTACATACGTATCCGTACCTACGCCTTCTATCGTCTTTCCCCGCCGGCCCATGTCTCATCATGTGACTGATCGACCCATTCGCCTACCGTGTATATGTCGCCGATCGACAGGATGGTCTCTGTCTTATAACTGCTCCTCCTGTCTCACCACCAGCGATAGATACGACCGCCGTCTGCGCACACTGGCGACGAGACTGGTTCGGCGTGTGAGCGAGAGGCGGAGATATAGCCGGCCAATGGCAACAGTTAGCCAATGATTCCGACGATTCTAGGTCCCTTCATTCTCCGGCAGGCATTACTTGCGACTGCTGCACCTCAACTCCACCAGTCTCACTATCGGATTCCTGCCCACACCCATACAGGCTCTTAATCCGCCCGTGTTCCCTGGACCCGGTAGATGGGCTGTTCAACCAGGCCGGTATCGCGCTTTTCGCAATAATCTGGGCCCGCGGTCTGTTTCCGCCTTCTCGTTCTTGTGAGCAACAAATTACAACGCTGCTGCATCAACAGACGTCTCTGCGGAAAATGCAATCTTGGAAACGTCTAGAAGGCCACACAGCGTCTGACTCTGCGCAACTGCCAAGGTGGCACCGCAGCCGTTCCAGCCTACACAGTAGTGTACACTACATACCGAGAGTGCCTTACCGCACCGGGTACGGATGCTGCGCGCAGATGCTCCATGAGGTCCCCCACCAAGCACAAGCCTCCAACGTGCATTCCTGCAAAGCCCACCCTCCTCCATCTGGGACGGCATGTGATTGGAGGGGCTGTCCCACGGCGGCTCCCGAGCATCCAACTTCACCCGGGCCCTAGCTGCGTCGAATGTTTGACCTCTAGTAACCAAGATAATGCGAGCTACTGTCTGATACATCCGTACAATATCTTTGGCTTCAACATCATCACTTACAACCGAGGTTCCGTAAGTGCTACAAAAACATCGCCTCCTAACTTGTCTCTGTACAAGGAACCAAAATCTCACAACTCATTCCACTGTCGATTAGTCGCTTAACGCTACCATGACCAGCACGCACGACGAACGAATTGCAGCTCTTCAAACTTTCACCGCTTGTGACATTTCAGATGCACTCCTGAAGCTCAAAGTACCCGGGGCTGGCTTCCTGCCTGATCTGCAACTGCTGGGCCAACCGAACCCCGCAGATGCTCCCATCACCATAGCACCAGCATCCACGATACTCTTCGCTCGGAAGGGCGAAACGTTGGACTCGCCCGCCGCAAATATTCCCAAAAACACACACTGGGCTGATATCACCCAGCCTGGTACCATCGTGATCATCAGACAGCCCGACGGGCAGAAGAATGCCGTCTGCGGAGGAATCATGGCTGTGAGGATGAAGGTTCGGCAAGCGAAGGCGATCGTAGTAGTAGGTCGCGCCAGGGATCTGGACGAACTAACCAGTACGGGTCTACCGGTGAGTCGAATAAACCACCCGGGTCCTTTAGAATCTTCTCCAAGTCCCCTAATCATCTCACCGGTCGCTGAACCTTCTTAGGTCTGGTCAAGGGGACTCTCCACGGTTGGCGCAGGGGCAGAGAGTACCCCTTGGGCAGTCGAAGTACCAATCAATGTCGATGGCACGGTTGTCAACCCTGGCGATCTCGTTTTCGCTGATCCGGTGAATGGGGTTGTCGTCATCCCCAAGGATCAAGTCGACAAGGTCCTGGAGCTCCTCCCCAAGCTCACAGCTGCCGACGACAAGGTCAAGGCGGACGTGCTGAATGGTACATCCGTTTTTGATGCCTTTAAGGCGCACCGGAGCAATCTCTAAATACAGTTGGAAGGTTATGACCATACCTTGCCGGGAACTTTCGGGCTCGACTGGATGATGAGATTCTGCGGGTTGCAAATCATTTGCTGCGTCGGCAGAGGTGCCTCGCTCACATGAAGACACCCAGTCCTACATCGTGACTTTACGGCAAACGCTTGGGTCCTCTCACTGTGGGGTGGTACTCATTCGTGGGACAATGTCGTTATCCAAGGACGTGGATTAGGGGGAATGGAGGCGTCCATTGGGGCGGGAGCTACCTATGCAATGCATAACCCATCTTCTCGTCACAAATCCCTTGCGACTCCAACGCACTGATACTGACGACCGCAAGGGTCCTTCAAGCGAGCCACCACCACCATCACTGTCAGAACTAATCCGTAACTTCTTCCTATAGGACTCGACCCTTGGCGCCCCTTTACGAATCATGAACCGACACCGCACTCTGCTCTACCGACCAGCGGCCCGCGGGAAAGGAAAAAGGGCTGGCTGTCGGGCAATTTGTGCAAATGTGTTGACCCCCGTCATCTCCGAGTCTTCCAAGAAACTCGTCTGCCATTCTGAGGCACGACGACTTTGTCTGACATCCGTGCCCTCGGCTCAGGCTGACCGCCCCCGGCCTCTATCGTTTCCCCCTCCTCTTCTCTCTTGCCTCACTCACTTTTGACTTTGCCCTGCGCACGGAAGACGGAGTGCGTATAGAACATTCACGGATAATTCGGTATCTCTTCTGATGAAGGGTTCAAGCCCGGTTAGGCTTCTGTCAGAATTCAAGTTTAACAGGTCATCTTTTCCCCCTTCCACAGAACGGGATTGGAATCTTTATCGACGGAGGGGAGGCCCGGGTCTTATCATACTACGACTGGCAAATGATACAAGCCGCAGATGCTTGCTCCTAAGAGGGCTGCTAAACTGTTGAAGCCTCACAAGACCCTGGGAAAAGGGCATCGCCTAGGGTAGTCTGTCTATCTGACGAGAGGGGGGTGTTAATCACCTACCTTACCTTACCTTACCTTACATCCTACTTACCGGATGCCCCGAGCACATAGAACCCAATTCTGAAAACAGATACACAGATATGTACCGGAAATCGCTATGTTGGAGTTGAGAGCGTGCTTGGGGGGACCGCGTAGTTGAGAAGTTGTACCGCGTCGAGTGACTTCCCTGGGAAAGCCTGATCCCGTTCAAGGTCGATCTTTTTTGCGCCTGTAAAGCCGAGAGAAACAAGAACCACCACATAAGGTAGAAGTAAAGAGGCTCCAGCCTGCCCTCCACAAACAGCGCAAACTTGCCCCACGAATCCCGCATCACATCGTTTCTGTAGGATTTGAAATCGCTATAGTAAAATAAAGCATGTAGGGCCATATCGCTGCGTTACCGTATGAGTCAAAACACATACCGGCACCGTATGATTTCCCTCACAGTCCAGATCTTGTCAAGGCCCGGAGGGAAAGTCCACCGCGTAGAAGGCAAAAGGCCATATTCAGAAACATTTGATTCGACGCGATCCCTCTGAATTCCCTTCTTTTCCCCATTCCCTCATTAATGCAACAAAAAAAAAGAAAACGAACGGACAGGCTACAGCACAAGAAAATAATGGCTTTTTCTATGTATGATGATCATCAATTCATAAACGTTGCCCTTCATAAGAAGCATTAGGCAGCATGATGTGTCTCCCCCCTCTCACCCTCCCACCTCTCTTCCCCCCTCGTCTCTCTCTCTCATTCTCACTCTGTTTGTGCGTATGTGCATGTATACCCAGGACAACTTCTCTCACCCTCTCTCTCTCCCTCTCCTCTCTCTGCTCTCCCCCTCGTGATCCCATCCCCATGCAAGGAAGGAAAACCACACACGAAAAGGAGAAAAAAAAACAAAAACACAACTCCTCCTCTCCCAGAGATCCAAACCCCGAAAAGGAAAAATAAAAAAAAAAGCCCACAGGGAAATGAGACAGCGCCCCCAGAGCTTCCGCGAACCTCTCCTCGTCTTCTTCTTCCGCCTTCTTTTCATCGTCTTCTTCCTGCTTCAGCCCTCGCCTGCGTTGACAATCTCCAACGTGTGATGTGTGTATGCGGGATACTGACACTGAGAAAAGACCCAAACGAGCTCGACGCGTTCCATGTCGAAAGATCGTGCCGCTGGAACCTTTCCCCATGCTGTTGTTCCGACCCGTTCCCGTCGCATTTGATGTACAATAGTCTCCATCTTTCCACAAGCTCATGGATACTCATGATGCTCACGATGCTCACGCCCCTCATGAAAGCCAAACGTCCCTCTCCTTAACAGGCGTAACCCGATGATTATCAAGCCCAAAATCCAATTTCGGAATCTCAATCTTGGGCGCCGCGTCAACGGGCTTCTGCGCCTTCTGCGTCTTCTTCGGGCTCGCGCTCCGCGACTCGGGCGGCGGCCCGTACCGCACATCCCTCGAATCCCACCCGTCCTCCGTCGCCGCCGCGACCCAGCACCGCAGCGCCTCGTGCACGCAGCCGTAAAACTTTTCTTTGCACAGCCGCAGACTGCCGCCCAGCACCTTCTCCCACCCGGAAATCCGGAGGTCGTTGCGCAGGTTGTTGCGCTGCGCCGCCGTCGGTGTGCAGGCGATGATGGCGTTCATGAGGTCCAGGTGCGAGGCGAGGTAGTTCGTCGCGTCCCACTCCACGCCGCCGACGTAGGGGGCCGCCGGAACGGGGGGGCGCTCCGAGGGGAAGTGCCGATGCATAAAGGCGTGCGGGTCTTGGAAAGAAGACGCGCCGTTTGTGATTGTGCCGAGCGGCGCGCCGCCCTTGGTCGACATCTCGGACGGCAGGGCAATGACGTTGAGGTGGTGTAGAAAGATCCAAAAGACCTCTTTGGTGACGCTGACGACCTCCTTGTTCCAGACCGTGTACGGCCGGTCTTTGCGCATCTCCAGCACGAAGCCGAGCGGCCTCTCCTCTTCCTTGGGCTGGGGGTTGCGCAAGAAGGAGAGCACCTTTTGCGCGCGGGCAATGCGCTCCATGGGCGTGGCTGACTCAATGTATGTAAATAACACTGACGTGATGATGTTGCGTGTAG